AGAGAGAGAGAGAGAGAGAGAGAGAGAGAGAGAGAGATCACCTATACTTTATTAATAAGTCTATCTAAATTTCAATAGTCCATACTTTTATGATTATATATTAATTTAAATTAATTAAACAGAGTATTAAATATTTTTTTAATTTTTTTTAAATTGTTGACTTTATTGAATTATTAAAATTTAATATAGAATATAAATTATTGAGTAAAGTAGATTTAAGTAGACTTATTCTTAAAATAAGTAGATTTTTTATTATTTTATATTATATATATAATGTAGTATTTGATACAAGAGAATAAAAATAATTCTTAAGTAGAAGAATTTTTTGAAAATGAGAACAAAACTTTAACCTTCTCATGATGATTGAAAATAAACTTTCTTTCTTTACTATGTGAAATTACTAAACTTTTAATAAATTTACTAAAAAATATTATTATTAAAAATAAAGATCAAATATGTTTTATAATTTTTTTTAAAGAACTTTATTATTAAAAATGTCTCATCTTCAAAAGGTTGTTTTACTGATGATCAACTAATTAATATAACAAGTTAGTATAATAGTTAAGCATTCACGCTAACAAAAAAAAAAAGTCTATTTAATAAAAAAAATCTCGTATTTGATGGTAATGTATGAATTGTTGGAGTTAGTGAGAGTTACATTACTAGAAAAGATGATTAATTTTTATAAGGTGGATTAGAAATAATGGTGCCAGAAAAGAGAAATAATTGATGACTGGTTCCAGCTAAGGATTCTAATTAATTTAAAAAGTAGCGATAGACAAACCTTGCATGAAGAGAAAAAGGAATGATCAAGATCCTTGTGAAACCCTGAAATTCCAATGATATCAGAACAGTTTCCTTTCCCTTCTCGAACCATCTCTAAATTATCATGCATGGCTTTTGTCTCCTCCATCAACCCCACGTAGAAGCCATTGAACACCTTCAACTCTCTCCCCACAACAAAATCAATCTCCAAATACTCCTTCAAGAAGCTTTCCACCATCACTCTCGGCAACTTGGTCAACCCCACTTTCCTGCCACCTCTCTTCACCACCTCAAACATGTCTTCCCCAACATCCTCCAAAAAAAACTTAGGCAAAACCGCGCTTCCAACTCTGAACCTCTCTTTTCTGATCCCAAAGAAGCACACCATGACCATGATCTTCATTCCCGTTTCTTCCCCAACTAAACAAACAAAAGGGTACGCTAAAAGCAAAACGATGGCCCTTAAAAGCCCTCCTGCTTCAAAGGCAACGAGCATGAAGTATGGAAAGACCGAAGAAGATGTCAACAACGCACCTTCTACATCAAAGATGAGAGTGTGGTCATTGAGGTCTGAACGATGGTGCAAAGAGTGGTACCTCTCGTGTATGAGTTGCGTTGCAAATGTGATGTTGTTATTGTTAATACTTATTCGGTCCTTGAGTGGCCTAAAGAAGAAACGGTACAGAAAGATGAGAAGAGATTTGAAGAAGAACGCACTCAGCACCATTCTAGCCATCTCTTCCCCAGTTAATTGCAATACGGCATATGCTGGAATAACGTGTATTTATACTCGTATCAATACATCAATACCCTTACTTTTTTGCTGTTATTACCAAATTGTGCCATCTTTACCTGGTTTGCTACTTAATTTGCTTGCTAACATCAACTTGTTTGTTTACTTTTTCGGTGACCAATAACTTCAACCCAATGAACCAAGCCTATTGATTGAGGAATTGTAAAGACTATTATAGAAAATGAGGTTGACTTGCTGCTTTTTTTTTCTATCTAATTTTTTTAAACTATATATATATATATATATATAATAACACATTTATTATTATTAACTAATGTTTTTAATGTTGTTAAATTAAGTTCTTAAATATTATATATAAGAATAAAAATATATAGTAATATAATGTTTGGCTAATTTAAGATATATTTGATGAGTATTAATTAATCTTAATTATCTATTTTAAAAGATGTGTGTACCATATACATCAAAGTAAATAAATAATACGCGACAAGATTTTTAAAGAAAGGTCAAAACTTAGCTGCATGCACTCATTTTGACAACAAATCCACAATATGTAATCATTAATTTGGGGTACTAACGTGGCTCAGAATTATTTATGAGTTTGGTGGAATTGACTGTTACATGAAATCCTCCATTAAAAAAGCATTGATTACAACTTTCATCATAGTAGATGTTGATTTGATTAACATATAGTAGTAGTTAGTAGTTAAACGTTCCATAAGGTAATTTAACTAAAAAGTACTTATTATATTAATAATATAAAATTTGATTTGTTTTAACTTTTTAAATTATTATTTTTATAAAACTTAATTTTTTTAAAACAAATTCTGAAGACAAATAATGCTGTTGAGGGTTGCAGAGCTGACCATGTGTTCCGCGGTGATAGCCCTTATCACAGACATAACTCTCTAACCATATGTCGTCAGGGCTACCCGACTAAAGTAAATTTTGATTAAAAAAATAAATGATAAAAATAATATTAAATTTATTATTAATAGGTTAAATATATAATTCAATACATATGTATAATATATATGTCGTGAATTCTCAAAATTTATTTATATATATATATATATATATATATATATATATATATAATATTAAATTGGTCTTCAAACATGTAATCACCAGTGATTTTGGTTATTGAAATTATTAACTCCCATGTATATTTTTAATTTGATATATATATATATATATAATACATTTTTAATTTGATTGTTACAAGATTAATACATTCTGAATTTGATCTTCTATATATATTAAATTAGGAATATATTAATATGTGTAAGAATTAAATTAAAAGTGTGTCAAATGTATAAAGACTATATTAAAAATATGCTATTCTTATATATAATACTTTCTCCCTCCATTATTGTCCGTTTCGTTTAAAGAAAAGTTGGATTGATTTTATTTTTCTTTGTTGATATCAATAATTAATTAAAATAGAAAAGAATAAATAGATAAAAAGTTAACTGAATTTATTTAATCATTTTGTTAATTGTCATACAACAAAAAAGAGAGAGATAAAAGTAGACAGAAATACATAAAAGAAATAGACCCACCGTCTTTTCAGCAGTACCAATCACGCTTGATATTATGACTTGTGACTACTATGCAATGCAGTGGACAATATTATTTCGGAGTGACGAGAGCGTCGAAGGGCAGCTGAACTTGTAAACATAAAATTCGCCACTGCCCAAAAGGCCAAAACGGTCTTCTTACGAATAATGTACCTGAAGGCAAAAGTGGATATTCTTTATTTCTTTTTATCTCCATTTATTTTATTTCCTAAAAATTTTAAAAATTAATAAAATAAAATTGATGAAATTGATACATATTTTAAAAAGTGTGACATTTATACTTCTAAAATTTTATTAATTAAAGAAATGAAGAGAAAAAGAAATGGAGAGAATATTTTTACTTCATGTAGGATTACATGCAAATATAAATCAACTTTTATATAACCCGTAAAATTTATTTCAATATATATATATATATATATATATATATATATATAATATCTTATTTATACTCAATACTTATATATAAAAGTGATCTTTTATTTTGGTATATACATTATTTTTAACAATTTTATCTCTTTATAAAAACTACATAAATTACTTGAAAAATCTTTTTTTAGAAATTTTATCTTTGAAATTATTGGTAATTACATATTATCTCTCACTAATATGAATGTATTTAAAGGAGGACATCACAAAGAAGTTTTTCTTTTCATTAGTAATAATGTAGTATATAAAGGCAATGGTTTATTTTTGTGTATGCAAATTCTTGAACTATTTTGCTTTTATAACTATTTTCATATGACTCTCTTTTATTATCTCTCTCTTCTGCTATGTTTTTTATTTAATTTTTTTTTTCTATTTAATGTAAATTTTCAACTAACTACTCATTTCATTTTTTATTTTTTAAAAATAGAGATACATAATGTCTCTCTTCCACTAGTTAATATATAAAAGGAATATTCCTTGGGTACACAATTTTTTAGACATATATGTTCAATTTTTTTCAACCAATCTATCTTTTAAAGATAAAATTGAGAAAATAATGTATATGGAAAAATTAAATGTTTGTTTTATAATACTAAATGTCTATTCCATAATAATAATTGCCCATCTATTTATTTATTTTTTGATTTTATTTTAGTGGAAGCATAGGTGCCTATTTTCACACTAGTAAAGGTTAAAGAGAATACATAATGTTGATTTACACCTTCTTTCCCCCTTATTTTATCCTTGTAATTATCTTAAATCAATGACCTACAAATACTTAGTGGTTGGAGAAAGATGTTCGAATAAATGCATGATTCTCATTTGTTGTTTTTATAATCTTTCTTACAGATTAAGAAAAAAAAACCACTTAAACCTTCAAACAAACTATTACTTTATTAATTTTAATTTTATTTTATTTTTAAATAAAATACATAAAAGTAAAAAATGTGTCTTTTCCACTCAATGGTTAAAAAACTATAATCAACTTAGAGGTAAGTTAATTTATAGGATTTAAGAATATACTTGGATTTCTTTTGTCAAGAGAGGAGAGGGAGAAAATAAATGAGGTTTACACCATTGTGCTGGGAATAAATTAGGCCTATTTTAAAGTAATTTATATCTTATAAACTTTGGCCGATGTAAGTGGCAAGAGACTCACTTGATTCAATTAAGTGACAAGGATGTGATTTCTATTTTTTGAATCCAGAAAATTTAAATTAGTAAAGGGAAAATTCCGCCTATTCAGTGTTTCTCAAACTCTCGAGAAAGATTATCTTCATGTTCAAAAAAAAAAAATACTTCATTAATAATAAAAAAATAAAAGTAATTCATACTTCACTACATCAAATTCTTAGGCCCTTTAAAATCCACTCTTTCAAAACTTAAGTTTACCATTACTCTAAGAGGGTATCTTATTTAAACAAATACAAATAATATTATTATAACAATATTGTTGTTTGTTAATTATTAGCATTAATGTTGTACTAATAATATATTAGTATGTGTAATATATCTGATAAATATTTATTTTGTATAGTTATAATTTAGGTTTAAATATATTTTAAATCTCTTAAATATCATGATTGTACAATTTTAATCTATTATATTTTAATTGAATAATTTTAGTCTTTTAACTAATACAGTTGTATAATTTTGACCCCTCAAATTTTAATGAGCATTCTATCAAGTACTACAATTTTGTGATTTTAATCACTTAAATTTCACAATTATACGATTTTTTACCTATTAAAATTATTTATATAATAAATTTTAAAAATTTTCATTTACTCTTTCTGTGTCCCACCTATATATCTTAGTTCTCTCAATTCTCTTCTCTCTCCGCTTTCTTTATTTTCTTTCTCATCCCTTTTTTTTTTTCCCCTCTTTCACTTATCTGATTTTGCTCACTCTCTACTTCACTTATATCACTCTAATAAATGATGAAAAATCACATTAATGTAATTCAAATTTTTAGAGTTTTAAATTTCCTAAATTTTTTTTAAAATTTCCTGTCCAATGCAGGCCATTCTACTATAGTTACAATGAAGAAAACATATGTACCATGCAGGACATTTCAGGACAAATTATCATCCAAAACAACCGAAAAGTTACTCTCTTTTTTTTAAAGGAATACTATTACACTCTATTTATGATTAAAAATTATAAAAGTGATAAGAAAAACTTGATAAATAATAATTGAGATCCACATAATATTATGATATTCAATAAATTTTAGTCAATAATAAAACGTTAAAAATGTGATTAAAACAGACTTTCTCTTAAATTGTAAAATATTCACGACTTCTATGCCAAGCTTGAAACTAAAACTAAAGCACATCTTGATACCATCTATTTTCGTAAAATCATTTCGATGTCGGAAATCATTCGATGTGATATCACAGGAAAGTGTTAAGAATACTAATTAATAACCAACCAGAACACATCCGCTCAAGAAATTTATAGCAAGAATGAACACATCAACCTAGAAAATCAATACCTCAGTAAACCAATAAGTACCCAATAGGGTAGGTACATCAAACACCTGCGTGGTAACAAAACGTAAATTTCATTCTAGTAAAATCAATCACTCTTTTAAAGGATCTTGCGCAACACAATCCCAGCAGCAGTAGCACGTAACCAGTTAAGGATAATAACCCAATAATGCATCAAAACTTACAGCAAAGTTCTTAACAAGACTGAACAACTATATTTTAAAAGAAAACTGCATCCGTCAACCAAATTGCATATCCTTCCCAATCCTAAGATTAATCAACATACTTACCTAACTTATGGCCTTCTGTGCATTTAACTGCCTACTCGATCAATCTGGACCCTGAAATTTTTTTCAAGCAAAATTAAAGCTTCTGGCTGAAAAAGAATCACAAAATCTGCAATATCCACTATAACAAACTGGAATGACATCCTTGGTCAACTAAGATCTATTATCTTTACAACATCAGACCCTTCTATGTGACATC